GGGACTCGATCCCGGGACTCCAGGATCATGACCTGAGCCGAAGGCAGTCGCTTAACCAACTGAGCCACCCAGGCGCCCCCAAAATTACAGTTTAAGGCCTTGGTCGCTGACACTCCATTTTTACCGCCCCTCCCCCCCTTTTAAGAGCAGGAGGGGGAGAGATTATGGGAGGGGGAGAGACCATCTTAAGCGGGCTCCACACCCAGCATGGAATCCGACGTGGGGCTCAGACTCACAACCCTGAGATCATGATCTGAGCTGAAATCAAGAGTCAGACGCTTAATCGACTGAGCCACCCAGGCGCCCCATTTTTACCCTTTTTGAGGAAGAACAGATTTCAAAAAAAGATGAGTTATCTTTTGGTTGTCACCTGTAAATTACTCTTAATTTCAGGGTCTTTGTTTTAATTTTTTAGAGTTTTATTGTTTAGTGCAAGCCTAATAAACTAGCCAGATTAGTTCTCTGGTGATTGCTAGAGGTTATTTTCTTTGTTGACTTGGCAGACACTGCATATGCGAAGAACAAACTGAATGGGAAATGGTATTATTTTGATGATAGCAACGTGTCCCTGGCCTCTGAGGATCAGATAGTGGTGAGTAGGCTCTAGTACTTGGTTCCTCCTCTTACCTGACAGATTAAAGCTGGGGAGAGTCTCCTGGGCTAGTTGGTTATTTGGTCATCCTGATGTGACAGTGGGAGCTAGGTGTGGTAGAGAAAGAGCTGACTGCCATTCCTTCCAGGACCCTTCCTAAATGAGAAGCACCACTCTCTGAGTTCTCTGTCACAGGCACTGGCCCTTCCCCACTCTCTGGGCAGCGTCACGTTCCTGGTGGCCTCTGTGCCTGGATGCACAGGGCAAGATGGCAGTTCTCTGAAAGTAGGTTTTGAACAGTGAGCGAAAAGCTGGGAGAAAGGGTGATAATTCCAACCTGTGAATGAACTTTTCCCCTCTTGTGTTTTAGACAAAAGCAGCTTATGTGCTCTTTTACCAACGTCGGGATGATGAATTTTATAAGACGCCTTCACTCATCGGTTTTCCTGGATCCTCTGAGGGAGGGACGAGCTCAGGCAGCTCGCAGCAGGGCACGGGGGGCGATGAGGCTTGCAGCATGGACACCAACTGATGCTGCCTCCGAGACCCTGCCACCCCACAGCACCAGTGTAATCCCCCAGGAGAACATCTTTGACACTCTGAAGACTGCTAGTGTTCGGTCCAAAAACCAGATGAAGAAATCCCCTTCTTTTATGAGCAGAAGAAAAAAAAGACCCTGTTTGCTCAGAAGGGTTATGTCAAGAGGCTGAATTATTTTTCTTTTTATACAGGTGGTGAGAAATTTCTGTAAGACCTGTGGAGCTGGAAAGTGGGGGGTCGGGAGGGGGTTGTACAGTGGAGTAAGGCCGATGAATTCCAAAGAATGGAGAGGAACACCGTAATTGATTATGGTGGCCATGAAGACCTGCGGCAGGTTGCCCTGAGTTTCTGGATTTCTTATTCTGGTGCTGGTTCCTGGTCACCCCAGCAGTCCGCCCACAGTAAACCAAGCCTTCAGTTCACTTGATGTTGTCCCCTTCTCCCTTGCTGTGCACTGACATGGGTTTATAATTCCCTCAAAATTTAGTCCCTGAAGCTCGTTTCTGTTTCCCTTTGAGCCATCTTGGAATGTCTAGCTTTCTTCCCCCTAATGAAATGAAGATATTTGGTGTTGGGGTCTCCTGCCCCTCAATCTCGTGTGGAACCTAGCAGTTCTGTTATGTCCCTCACCATCCTTGATGAATTGAGACGGTTGGAGACGGTGTGGCGCTTTTATTAGATGTCACTTAAAAGAAGTCGGTACACAAAACTTTCTGGGTACAGTGGCCCATCCAGTTTCTCTCCGTTGGCTTGAGAATGGGAACCTCTCCCTTCTTGCCAACTTTGGTAAGAAGTGAGATTTTCCACCCCACCTGCCCCCCCCCAGCGGCTTCTGAGCGGGCCGGCCCCCCGCCCCCCCCCCCGCGGTCCTCCGCATCCGGCTGCCTCCCCAGGGGGGGCTCGCTTCCGCTCCGGCCGAGTGGGTTTTAAGAATGAGGTGGTGGGTCCGGCCCTTCTTGCCTGACCTTTAACCTTGGCGGGGAGAGGGGGGCGGCAGGGAGCGCCATTGTCGGGCGCGTGATCGGCCGGGGCGCGCGCGGCGACCGTTGGTCGGGGTGGCGGTGTGGCCGCGCTGCCGGGTGAGGACGCGGCTGCGGACCTTCTGCCTGAGGGCCGGCTGCAGGCCCCCGGCCGCTGGCGAGGGCCGAGGGGGCTGCGGAGACGGCTGGGCCGGGCGGCAGGGGCGGGCGGGCCCGGAGCCGGGGGAGGCGGGGCCGGGCGTCCCTGGGGCTCCCGTCCGATCGCTGGTTCCTCCGGGAGATCCGCGGGCCACACCCGCCGCCTGGGGAGGGGGCGCCCGGCGTGTGGGTCCCTCTGGCCGGTGGTGTGGATCGAGCTCCAGGAGATGCGTCTTTCGGGGGTGGTTTGCAACTTCGTAACGATATTCTCGTGTTGCTCTGTGCATTTCCAATGTGTTACGTAATAAAGACGTGGTCGCTTTTAGGGGAAATGTCTGAAAAACTGAGAAGATGCAGAAAGGAGCTGACTGCGGCCATTGACCGGGCCTTTGAAGGCATCAGTCATTGCCAGGAGTGCTCGGGCCGGCGGAGGCTGGAGCCGGACGCCGCGCCGCTCCCCTTCCCCCTCCCTGGGCCCCGGCTGCTCGGCAGGAGGCACCCGCGGGCAGCCGCCGCCTCCGCGGCTCCTTGCATTCCAGTCCCGTGTGCTCTGGAGAACGAGAGCCCTGCCTTTGCTCCAAACCATGCCCCAGGGAATGCAAAGCCACATGCCTCATGCCCGAAAAGAAAACCTCTGACCAGTAAGGAAAACGTATTGATGCATTCCTCCGTTTTGGCAGCCGAAAGACCGTTTTGGAGAGCCGCGGGAGATGGGGAGAAGTGGAGAAAAGACGGCCTAAGGTGATTCCAACTTGACAGTGTAAAAAGTTACAATTAGGGGGCTCTCATTTCTGAAAATGTTGAAGTTCCTAAATTGAGTCTGGCGCCGCTTCTGCCTCCCCTCTAGGACTGTCAGCCCATTCCTAGAAACCACTTTGCCGTTCCCACAGGGGTAATGAACGTTAGAGAACTTGACGTCTAAGTCACTTTATTTTTTATACTGCAGAAATAAAAATTTTCGTTCCAACATCCATACTCCTAAGGGAGAGGCCAGATGGTTGGCTGGGCCCTACTTCGGGCTTACATCCTTGCTTCTGCTCCCTTCACTCCCCTCCCCCCCCACCTCCTGAGGTCTTAGACCATCCCTAGGTTAAGATCTCCCCTAGACTACCCCCCCATAGCTTTAAAGTTTATTTATTTATGTAATCTTTTTTTTAAAAGATTTTATTTATTTGAGAGAGAGAGTGAGAGAGAGAGCACGAGAGGGAAGAGGGTCAGAGGGAGAAGCAGACTCCCTGCTGAGCAGGGAGCCCGATGCGGGACTCAATCCTGGGACTCCAGGATCATGACCTGAGCCGAAGGCAGTCGCTTAACCAACTGAGCCACCCAGGCACCCTATTTATGTAATCTTTACACCCAAGTTGGGGCTCAGACTCACCACTCTGAGATCCAGAGTCACATGCTCTTCTGACTGAGCCCGCCAGGGGACCCTCTCCCTGGTAGGTTTAAACTGCCTGGCTCTAGGCACCTTGATTTGGAGCAAGGATGACCATATGGGATGGAACTTCAAGGTCCTGCCATCTTGGCTACCCTGGAGGCAGAGAAGGAAGAAGCCATTTAGTTGGTTCAATTCTAACAAATGTTAATACGGGCATTTGTAGGCATGAATGCGCTGTCAGGGATGCTCATGAGGGTGATGATATTACTCAACTTAACTGACTTAGCAGTTTCCAGTTGCCCTCTCTAATCACAGCATGGGAGCCAATTTAAAGTTACCAGTATGTTTTTGTTTTTAAGATTAACACTAAGTTCCCTACAGTATTTTCTTGAAAGAGGCTCTAATTCTCCACCTCTTCTTCTTCTTCTTCTTCTTTTGTTTCTACCTGGGGGTTGCAGGAAAGATATGGAGAAAGATTTGAAGATTGACTCAAACATGCCACTCAGCAATTCTAGCCAAGAGGTTACAAAGGATCTGCTTGATATGATCGGTGAGTACAAAGGGCAGGTCTATCCTCTCCTTGGGAGGATAGGTCCTTCACACAGGCACCTGAGTCCGCAGGTGTCTTTAAAAAAAACCACTCTCTTAGTTCTCATCCATCTACATAGTAAATTTGTTTTACCCATGGCAGGCTCTATGCAGAGAGCATTCCTGGAGCTGATAGCCTGATGGAGTCACACATGAATCAGGTCATAAATGTCTGGTTACAGTGAATCCCTGGACACAAGGGACAGTGGTTCTCCAGGACTTGGTGGTTGAGCTCAGGTCTGGAGGCAGGACATAGGCAAAGATGGGGTGGGTGGGGGGCGGTCCAGCTTGGGTAGATAATACAAGATTAGAAGAAAAGTTAGAATCCCAAAGCTCCCCTATAACGCCAGCACCCAGAGAAAGCCAATGTTAACAGTGCTGGACATCCTGCCAGAGGTTTTTTTCCCCCCACATCTGTACATTTCTGTGTGTGAACTATATATGCCCTTTTTATTTATTTATTTGTATGCTCTTTTTTCAAATGACTCACACTGCATAGTGGACAAACAGCCCCAGGTTAAGGGATGCATAGCCTTGGGGGCTGCCTGAAGCTGTTGGCTCTGGAAGGGCCTCCAGGTTCTGGGGGGATGAGAGGGAGGCCTGGTGGGAGGAGTCGCTCCCCTGAGGCCACAGAGCAAGGCACCTGCCATGCCACTTTGTGAGTGGATGGAGTCTCCTCCAGTGGCCGTGAGAGGGGAGCTGAAGTCCTCTGCCTCCACTCACCATCCTCCACAGTCCTTGCCAGCCCCGGGCAGCATTTGATTCCCCTTACAGACTCCCCTTTTTTTCACACGATGTCATGTCATGCCTGCAGGTCAGGGAGTTCCCTAAGATCCAAGACAAGCCAAGACATCTCTGTATCCTCCCACTTGCACCTTCCTTGGGGACTGGCGGGTAGTTGGGCTCAATAAAGGCAGAGCCAGAGGGGTGGGCAACAAGGCCACCTTAGAATTGGGCGCTCAGTCTGGCAGCCTCCCTGCCCTGAAGTCCCTGGAGAGTGGCCACCTGTTTGTGGGTTTTAACTGGTGCCTGAAATGTCTCCCGAAACCTCTCACTGGAATTATAATGCTGAATGTTCTTCTTTTTAAGACCATACGAGCATCCGAACTATTGAAGAGTTGGCTGGGAAACTAGAATTTGAAAACGAGCTGAACCGCGTGTGTGGTCGCTGCGGAGATTCGCCCTTCAGGGAGGAAGCCTGGGCCTTGCTCGTGGACGAGAGCCCTCAGAAGGCCCCGGATAGCGGCTCCAGCAGCCTCAAGCAGGCTTTCGATGATCACAGTATCGTGGAGACTGTGCTGGACTTGGAAGAGGACTACAATTTGATGACCTCTTTTGAATACCAGATTGAGTAAGGACCGCTGGCCGGAGCTTGGGTTCTTCCCAGCAGGAGGCTGCCGTTGAGGCAGTGGTCAGTGCCACTGGGGGCCACTGCCACGTGGCTGGCAGGCTCGGAGTTACCACACCCTCTTTAACTTCTACTTGTGTCCCTTTTTAGGCTGAAAGCCCAATTTTTTTTTTCTATTGCTTTGATTTATTTCTTACTGTTGATTCTTTTCACTTTTCTTGACATCTCAAATGTGTTTTTTGACTGATGTTTAAATACACCAAGTACCCAAGGCGGGTGCCGGTCATAGGCCTCTGCTGTTGTCTCCTGGTGTTCTTTTCCATGCGCCCCTGAAGAAGTACTAGGACCACAACCGGGCGGGGGGGAGCTTCATGCATCCCCTGGGACCAGCCCAGGCCAGCCCAGGCCGCACAGATGGTGGCCCCAAGCCCTCCTACCCTTGCACACCTCGCACACCTTGCACACCTCGCTCACAGGGCTGTCCTCTGCATGGACTCCATACCCTCCTCGTGTCCAGACCAACCTCTCCTCAGCACCCCCAACCCTGACCCTGTTCAGCTTGAAGACCTCTGCAGGTGCCTAATGGTTGTGTTGGAGGAGCTGATCCCCTCCTGACCAGGCATTCCCTTGAGGCCTCCCCACCACACCCCCCACATCAGACACCTGGGCCCCCAACCAAGGGCAGTGGGAGGAAAAGGTAAGCACAGGTCCTGCCCATCCCCCTTCACGCCTGAGCCCTCGCGCATCCCGCTCCAGGCCTGGAAACCCTGGAAGCCACAGGTAGTGGGGCAAGATGGGCGGGAGTAAAGAAGGAGCTAGGCCTAAAAGCCTGGCAGGGCTGGCTCCAGCCACACCCCTGGAAAGAAAGGACAAGGACATGATCAGAAATTATTTGGACAAATGTCTCAAAACCATGATATTCTTTCAGGAAACATCATAAGCTATTGGGAGGGTCTGATGCCTCCCAGAAACAAGAGTCTCAGAGAAGTGCCTGCCTTCTGGGCTCAGATAGGCAGCATGGGGGTGAGGAGGCTGGCACAGGGGCTATTGGTAAGACCCAAAGAACTGGGAAGGGAAGCCCAGTGGCCAAGGGCCCCCCTTGCCAGGCCATCTTTTAGGCTACAGACCTGAGCACAGGGCAGGCTGCAAAGCCGGTGACCCAGGTCTGGTGACTCCTGCAGGCTCTCAGGTGGAGACTGCCCACCCACTCCTTAGCGGGGTGGCCACCTTGTGGGATGGGCCTCCCCTGAGGGGACAGCCACCACCACTGTCCTTGCCTGGGGCAGAGGGGGACGAGATTACCTGGAGGCTCCTCCCCGGCCACCCGACCTTCAGTCCCTGCAGGGGCACCCTCAGTAAGCCACAGCCTGTGGAGCTGGGGAGTTCCTTCTCCCTTAGCAGGAAGGACAGGAGCGAATGAGAAGAAAGGCTCGTAGCATCCTGGGCCGCCCTGCTCAGGTGAAGAATGGATGTGTGCGTGGAGAGACGTCCTGATATCCGAGCCAGGGCTCACAACAGTGCACTCCAAATAAGTGTTGATGTGGAGAGTCTCCCACAGAGAAGGTGGCGCTTAATCCAACCCCTGTCCCTTCACCGCCCCTTGAGGCCGAGCTAGACTTAGTGACTCACTTCCAAGGGACAGAGCAGGGAAAGAGAAACACAGATTTCTTTTTTTTTTCCCTAAAGATTTTATTTGTCAGAAAGAGAGAGAGTGAGCTTGCACTAAGCAGGGGGAGCGGCAGGCAGAGGGAGAGACGCGGCACTCGATCCCAGGACCTGAGCCGAAGGCAGACGCTTAACTGACTGCACCACCCGGCTGCCCCCAAACAGTAGATTTCTATGGAGAAGCCCGATAGCACCTAAGCAAGTGATGAAGGGGAACAGCACCAGTGATGTGTGGATGCCAGCCTCCCCCCATCCCCCCACCCCCCCACCACAGGGAGCAAGGAGAAGGGCGCTCCACCTCTGTCAGGTCCTTACCCAAACCCCATGTCCCCGGTCTAATCACAATCTGAATGTCAGATAAACCCAGACTGGGGCATGTCCTGCAGGATGCCTGGCTAGCACTCCAGATTGTCAAGGTCATGAAGAACAAGGAAAGACTCAAAACCCGTCACAGACTAGTGAAGACTAAGGAGACACATTGATTGAATCTCCATGTGGTATTCTGGATCGCATCCTGGAACAGGAAGAAGACAATGGAAAAACTGGTGAAGTTTAAATAAAGGCGAGAGTTCATGTATTTTTCTTAGTTTTGACAAATATGCCTGTTATGTAAGATTAGGGGAAGCTGGGTGAAGGGTAGATACAAACTGTTGTTGTAACCTTCCTGTAAATCTAAAGCTATTCCAAAATTTAAAATGTATTTATTTTTTAAAAGTGCACTTGATCTCCAGTTTGTACAGATGTGTGTGTGAGCACAGCACACGCAGGAGATTGTTACGGAGGGACAAGGGGGTTTGTCTTTTTTTCCCCTTGTCCATATTTTCTAATTTATCTGCAGTGGACACGTATGGCTTCTTAAAGTCCCCATCTCCACCAACTAGCCATGGGTATCCTCCACCAGCTGACTGCCCAGAGCTAACCCTCACAGTCCCCGGAAACTGCGGCAGATGCTAGACCCACAATGGGAAGACTCACAGGACCTTGACCTTGAGGATGCTGGGTCCCAGTGACTGGAAGCTCTGGGTCTGCTGGAGCTGCTTCTCGGCATTCCATTCACGGTCCCGCAGGGTCCTTGCATGGGGAGTGGGTGCTGGGAATGGGGGCCTAGCCCTAACCCTGGAAGACTGAAAAGAAAGGATTATTTCTGCCTGTAGAGGAGACTATGGTCCTTGAGAACAAGAGTCAGCATGGGGGAGGGACCTGGCTCTCCCTGGAGGGACAGACAGACATATTGCTGTTTTAGCTAAGCCTTTATGTAAAAATTCAGATTTACCAGAGGGGTAATTCATCCTGGGATCCTTGAATGGAGGAGCTTTTCTTCACTGTAGAAACACAGCTGTTCAGTTAAAGCAGGTGAGCCCTGAGCCTCTGGCTCTCCAGTCCCAGATTAACAGGGGTAGCCATATGGTCATTTCCCTGGTGACCTGGACGCCTATCTCCGCATCCCTGGCTCCCTGAGGTGCCCCAAGGAGACCTTCCTGCCTCTGTCATCTGCTTTACTGGGCAGATGTGTGCTCATCTACACACAGCAGGGGTGTTCAGGGAGTGGGTCTCCAGGGACTTAGCCAGAAGGGGAACAGGAGTCTAGAACATTTATTTTAATACAACTTCCTCGGGTTTTCAGGGGGCTGGCACCAAAGGCTTCTCGGGGAGACAATGAGAGTCATATTTGAGAAACTAAAACTGTTTTACGTCATTTGGTTCTCTCCCCCGCAGCTCATCTTGGCAAACCAAACAATCACTGAATTGTTTCCGTGGAAACACCAAACTGTGATTTGGATTAGCAGACTCAAAATAGAAACAAGGCAACCTCAAGAAAAAATAGGAACTTTGGAACCTGCTAGTCACAAACTGCAAATTCAAGCCACAGCACAAGGCACGTGAGAAACAGGGCCCATCCAGCCCTGTAAGAGGTCTCCAGGTCCCCTGGCCACATCCCACCAGTGTCCCTGCCCAGGCCACTAGAACCCAGCTCTATATGCAGACTGGTAAGACTTTGTAAGGCAGGGGCTGGTCCACAGAAGCTCCTAGGACCTGCTTGGGAAGAAGGGATAGGAAAAAGGGATAGGAAAAAGGAGAGAGATGAGCCAATGGTTGAGCGAAGGTCAGCAAGGAGCAGAGAGCCACAGTGAGGCCTGAGAGCCGAGCAACAACTCTTTCAAAAGGACAATTCAGGGGTGGCCGTAGGCTGGAAATATTGGCCCTGGCTTCAGCCTCGTCCAGATTGCCACGTTCTCCACATTCCTGGGCATGGCTGTCTGGCCACATGGACCTAGAGTCTGAAGTCTTGCCAGGTGAGCTCCAGGGGCACTTACAGTTAGTAGGCCTCTGCTTCTGTGGGGCTCCAGCCAGTGCAACCAGGCCCTGGGGCCTGCCTTCTCAGCTTGGGCTCTCCGGGCTCCCCTCCCCCAGCCTTCTGCTCCCCCTCACTGGGGGGCTTAGGGGCGCCACCTCCTGGCCCACCTGCCCTGGCTCCTTGGACCCTCCACTTCTAATCTCAGGGCAAACCACAAAGGGATCAGGAGACCAGGCAGAAGGGAACAGACAACCCGGGGGCACGTGTCCTTCACCTGTGCACCCAGGAATGTGCTGATAGGGCAGCAACACCAGCCTCCCACGGAGGAGTTGTGAGCTGTTAGTGATCCAAGAAATTGAGGAAGAGGATTTGCAAAAGAGGCCTAATCCAGGCCAAGCTCCCTCTCCCCGAATGGCCAAGCTGGGGGCTCACCGGGTACGAGCGTGCCACCTCCGCCAACGGAAGCACAGAACGGTTAATATGGCGGTGACCAGTGAAGGAGGCGTGCACTCGAGGGAGGCCACTGCACCTGATTGTAGATAATTACTGAAAAGGCTTTCAGCCCAAGACTATCTGAGGCTCTGGCAATGTGCTTTCTCCCTGGAGTATGTGGGAGAATGTTAATATTTTATGTTCCAGCTAAATATTTATAGAGTAGACAAAGTTTTACTTAGGAAATCTATTTGACAATGAATCCCAGCCTTAGTGGGGAAGGACTCTCTGTGCTTGGCCAGCTGGAAGATGACTGATTTGATGAAGAGTTTTGGCCTAAGGCCTGGCATGAAAAAATTTTCAAAACTGCTCAACCCTTGTAGGAAGCAACTGTCTTTTTTTTTTTTGGAGGCAGAAAGGCTATTTTCTGGGCCCTTTGGGTGGAAAGGGGTTGCTGGCACCTGGCCTGGGAGAGAAGAGGGCATATTGCAGGAGACAGACCCCTCATCAGGAGCCCTCTGGAACTTCTAGGACAAAATGCCAAAAGGGGAAGTTGCAAAGGGATGCTAGAGAGACCTGACTTTGGGACAGGGCTGCAAGGAGCTCTTCAAATG